TTTTTATTAAGTCCTAGGGTTATCGTGTACCTTATTTTATATAATAAAAAATGTGAACGCCACCGTCGTCGAATAAATAATATTATAATCGTTGTCTTACATAAAAAGCTTATAATTCGATTAGATCGTAGCCCGTAGGTCACCACTCACTAGACGTCAACATTTTAATATATGTATACATTGACGCATAGTATATATATTTTGTATTGTTAAAAATTGTAATATATTTTGTTATAATAATTGTCCATCCATATTATAATGATGTACAGCGAAAGTTCAATTAAATGATACTGCAGCAGTTGTAATATTATGCTCTTGTGTGTGCATAATAATTATTGTCAATTGCGTAATAAGTAATAACACTTGTAATAAATATATTATATACGTTATAAATATATATTATATGTTTGACAATAATAAGTATCTTATCAACTGGAAACTTTAATGTTTTAAAGACGAAAATAAAACGTTACACTGTTACAGCACATATTACGCACTCAAATAAACAGTAAAAGTATCAGACAAGCCACTTTAATACATTTTGATTGGATCAACGTCTAGATCAACTCAATTGATCTACATTGATTTAAAAAAAAAAAAAAACCGAAGTAGGTACTTAAAAGCGTGTTCACCGCGGGATGCAAATTGTTAAAATACAAAACTCGTTATATTAAAAGGTTATTAAAACACGTTATTATAAAATGTTATGCAAAATGATCACGTTTTTGTCACTGTAATTTGGATAAAATATATTCTATAATATTGAAAGTTTATTCTCTTAAAACGTTAAGTGTCGACGACTTTAAATGTCTACAGACAGATATTTCGATTGAAACTCATTTTAAATGTGGTGCATAGCGCACTATACATGCGCGTTGTTGTAAAATAAATCTCGTGTCTCGGGGGTCGTAATAATTGTCTTGAAAGTATTATTATTATTAATTTCAAACGAATTCTCACGTATGTATCTGCCCGAGTACTCTACACGGACATTATTTTATCGTCTCCGTCTTACAAGTGTGTACAGATCAAGTTTAGCTCCTTTGGCTGAACAATTAGAGTGAATCCGACCTGTAAATAAGACTTGATGGTAAGAACATTGTCTGTGTTTGTATGTGGTTTTTTTACGATATAGTTCGAATTTTCAAGTGAACTATGGGCATTTCAAATTTATAATAATGATATTATAAGGCACAACTTGCAAGACGAAATTACCGTGTAGCGTCCTCTCAACCGTATATTGTTTGTTATATAATATTATCGTGTGATCGCATTTGTACGACTTTTGTATTTACGAGATTTTAAACTAAACAATAGTATACCCATTATGCTGCGATGTATATTATTATTATAAACAGTCATCGTTCCGTGTGCATGAGTAAATAATTTCGCAAATTGACTATTCTATTGACAGAACGTGAAAAACGACATAATGTGTGTACGTACATATAAAACCGAATGGCATATTGGAAAACGAAACTGTTTTATTTTTCTCTGTATTTGCGCGTGGGCAGTGCCCATATATATATATTAATTAATAATAATGCGTCGACCTTTGCTGCGGCAAATAATAAATATTTACATTCCTGCGTTGACCACGTGGTCAGCAAGACGTGTCACGCACGTGAGCCTTTGTCACATAAAATATAATATTTTTTCCACACTCGTAATTAACGTAATTGATGTCGATCAATTTTAAGCAAACACAGTTATATAACTACAGTTGTGGGATGAAATCGTTAATCGATAATGTAATCACATAAACATAATGCGTTCACAATGTATGATAGATTGTAAACAATATCATTTTCTGACCTTTTTAAAATTCGATTTTTTCTTGAAAATTATTAATATTATACTCGTCATGGCTATAATATTACGCGCCATATCCAACCGTATTATTATATAGTATTGCAAATTTCAACGACAGTCGTACATTCTCACGAATTCTTTATTTTGTATTTTATTTAAGGTAAACCCCATATTATAGGCTCAAGTACATATTACATAATATAATATACATATTATATATTAGACAAGAAAACAATACAATATTACAATTCTTAATTTAACTATCACATAAGAATACCTACTAAATAATTAATGTATAAACTTATAGGTAGTTGATTAGTACATATTATAAGAACTGGTTAGGTAGTGGATGGAATTTGTTGACTATAGAATAAGCCCAAATCGGACTCATTTTCCCTGTTCTGCCCATTGTTGGTTCCGTATGTTTTGATATGAAAAGTGGGGCGTGTTCTGGACATTTATTTTTTATTTTTTATTGATCTTAAGCTTCGGAAACTGAGGCCATTAGCTGTAGTAGGATTTGTATTGTAGGTTTGTATTGTATATTTTGGGACGATAGGGGGGAACACGTGTGTGTTTGTTTTTGGCAGAATTTCGAATGGGGCACCCGTAGGTTTCTGCCATGCCCCGGGGGTGGGGGATGGCAGCACTTGTTCTCCGGTCACCGAGACATATCCGGAGAAAAATGCCGCCCGGTAGCCGAGGATCGAACCGCGACCGGCTGCGTCGCAGCGGACGCGTCAGACCACTCGGTCACATCATCCCCCGACATTTATTATACTGTGGTATGTTGAAAGAAATATGTGTAAGCCATTTACCAAATTTGAAAGAAAAGAAATATCTGCATTTTTCCAAAGGGTACCTACCCATGTAAAGTATTGAGATTGAATATAATATCGTTTAATGTGTTTCGGTTGTTATTTTATTTAATATATTATTTTTACGACCATTGCAGCGTAAACATAATCTTCTCTGCGCTCTTTCCAGATAATGTAATGATATTATGTTATTAAGTATTTTAAACGTTGCAGCCGGCCGAGTATACAACAATTATGCTAAACGATTATTTCTAAAAAAATATTATTATCACTATTCTCGCACTCCGGAATACGTGTGCTGCAGAAGTCATACTCGTGCGATTTCATATTAATATAATATTCTCTACCAAAAATTAGGTAGTACCTATCTAAAGTGTCGTATGCAAAGCGAGACGATAAAAAAATTATAATGTAACGTCGCTCGTGATATTGCCGGATCGACGTCGCGTTATCGTTCAGGCGAGGCAAATGATGATTGCCTATATTATGTATAATATAATGTTCGAAATCTAGGCTCGGAAACAGCGTACGTGTGTTGATGTGTTGCACGTGCGTTTATCGCGTAGAATTCGCTAATTATAATAATATTTTATCTTATTGCGGAGAATGACAAAAAAAAAAACTTTAAATATAATATTTTAATATCACACACCGGCCGTGTGTGTCGACGACGGCGTGGGCACATATTGGTTATTGCTATTCATATCGCATAATATATATAATATTATACAAAACCGCAACGTCAACCTAACCACGCGAGTGTGATGGTTACCATATATACCGCATACCCTACCGTACTATAGTACACGATATAATATTCTGTGCGCTGTGGCGATTATTATTATTATATTATTTTTTTATCTCGTATACAAGATATTACCAGCTAGAACGTCCTTGGCGACGACCCACAATAATAAAACCGCTTACTGTACTGATGCAGTCCTTCAACTTGTGTCCGGGCCATCCGAAATAATAATAAGATTATGACGCCTACGCCAGAGGAGGTATCTTCACCTAAGCAGAATAATACATTAAAATATCATAATAGCGATTATTGTGTATAGCGTGCGATCCATTAAATTATACAGGGAAATTCTCTAACACCGCGAACAGTCCATCGTACAGACACTTTTCGTATACGCATCAGAGTATATAATATCTATAGTTATTTAGTTTTTGAACGCAGTGAATTTACAGGGCGATTCTTTTAACACCAAACTGTGTACGTATCGTCATGTATCGAAGTAATTCAATTATTCTATTGAGATTGATTTTTTGAATGCATCACAGTGATTTTTTTTTTTAACGCAATCATCGTCATTGGCTGTCAAATATTATATTGTTACCATATCGTTTCTGTTGTCGTATAATATATTATCGTTTTTCGTGCGTATTCATTTAGATATCTGTGGTCATATACCGCGCGCACTGCATCGACGATACGGACACGACAATAATCACCATACTATATAATAATATGAAAAAATACTTTGACGCACTAAATACAAAATAGTTCGTCTTTTCCACTGGAACAAAAACGAACAAATAATTCGTTAGCTATCCGTATATATTATATTATGTATATATTTAACTATTATTTTTGTACATAATACTCTGTGCATGTATACGGAAAAATATACATTCTACAATTTATTGAAATTTATATTTTTGAAATATTTCATTTTAATGAAAAATCAAAATCAAATTTGAGTTTAAAACTTTAGTAAGAAGTGCAGTAAACATCTCTCCTTAGTTAAATATTATAGAAATCTGGTGCATATTATATCTTATCTATCCGTTTCAAAATTAAGTAGTGATAATCACTAATCAGGTATGAAATCAGTGCAACAATCTAGTGATAATTGTATGAAACATACCGAAAATACAAAATTTAAATTTAAAAAAAATAAATTATTTCATCGAAATATTTCAAAGTGAAAATTTCATTTGTAATATTTCATACTCATAACGCACTGCGCTGCAGATTAGAAATGCTGTAAGAAAATAGGAATTTTTTTGAAGTTAAAACGAGATTGCAGGCAATCAATTAACATGTATAATATCGTCGCGAGCTCCACAGTTCACATATATATATATATAATATATATACCTCTACGTGATGTGTAGCAGTCGCTCGTATAATGTCTTCGGATAATAATAATAATTTAAATAATATTTTAATCGTATACATAATATGTTTTACACGACGATGACAACGAAATGTCGTTATCACGCGTACGGCTCGTGTCAAAGGCCGTTTCATAATGCATTCGTAATCGGTGCGACAGCGATGACGGTCATGGGGTGGTGTGCTCAGTCTCACGCGATTTGTCGAGTTTAATTATTTACCGTGCGTTTTGTTTTTTACAGGTTGTGTCTTGCACATCGGTCGCAGAGACGCTGCACAACTCCTCCAGCGAAGTTACTCAGTGTGGTCGCGTGATACAGTCGCACCACATATTATCGTGATATAGCTGCGAGGTGGGACGACTCATTTCCAACACTTGAAAAGAAGCAAACGAACCGCAATCATCATGGTGAGTTATTTTTATTATTAATTAATTATTAATATTATCGCCTTGATATAACATAGGCCGAGTTTTCTATACATTGAATAATAGCACGTAGGTAGTAGGTATACACGGACATTTTTTTTTTTAAACAATTTTAACGCGGATTATCATATAAGATGAAGCCATCATAGTCCGTCGCAGCTGCTCCCCGAAATCCTATTTTTTGCAAAATATCTAACGTGTTACTTTTTTTTTAAAGAAAACCTATACTCATATTTATTAGATATTATTCTGAAATGGAATTTTTAGCGGGTTTTTAGACGCAGGTACCTATATAAATGAGTATAGAATATTGTGCCAAAAGTTTTTTAAGTTTATAAGATTATCTAAACGGTATTGTTTTAAAACATTTATCAGAAAATATAAAATCTGCTTGATAACACATATGTTCCAATTTAAGCATAATACAAGCCTTGAATAAAGACAAAAAATGTACAAACTTAACACGAAAGCTCGAGGAGCGAGTATAGTTATATCCAGCAGTAACACTCAAGACACGATAGAAATACAATTATTATATGAAATTTAAATATAAGAGGTGTGTGAAGCTGCGTATGGGCAATCCCACGCGATTTTGGTGAACTATATGATATACTCAACTCATCGACAAGTGAGGTTGGCACATTTTATCCATTTTTTAATCGGACAATTACTTGTCCTTGTCAATTGGGTATACGAGACTATAATATTATACTAAGTCATTTTTAACACCCAACACTCATTATCTCGATAACACATGTTCGCGTTTTTGAACAAATAAAAGAAATTGTCTTTTTATAATTGTACCTGTAAGCGTGTATAATTTTACGCTCACTACACTTTCACGGGATATTCACTGTCATTACATAATTTCACTTTTCTGTAACTGAATTTTAATTACTTGCCGATAAAACATTTATAGCTGATGCTGTTTTTAAAAAAATAAATAATGTTTTGATATAAATACATACAACCTTAGGTACATCACTAATAAACATACACGTACGTTTAATTAGTGGCCTAACCAAACTACACAAACCGTTTGTACCTGTAAATATTGGTAACATCGGCAGGGATTTGTTTTATTGAATAATAATAATTAACAATAAAGGTACCTAATTTGTACACTTTTTTTGTGGAGGATTGGAATGTCTTGATTACTGCAATAATTATTATTATGAGATCAATTATTTTTTACACATTCATTCGGAATAGGTTATCGCTCAAACGCTTTTTATTATTTATTCTTTAGAATGTTTAATTTTAGCTTATAGATAATCAGTTTAATTTGATATAAATGGATCGTTTGTAATAACGTTTCAATTACTAATTTTTTGTTTATCTCTTGACCCTTGTTAATGAATTATTTTCCATGTCAAGTATCAATAGAAGCAATTGCGTTTTCATTTATTCTTAAAACGTAGGTACCTACTAAGAAAGTTTATACTTGCAGTCTATATTATAATAGCATGCACCTATTGTTGAATTTGTATTCTAGTCTTATTGTGACGAAAAAATGTGTAGTTAAAACACCTAATTACAATTAATAGATTAAAAAACGAAATTATTCAAATATAACATTTAGATTAGAAAAGAAAAATTCTGGGAAAAAGAATCAATTTTTTAGTTATTCAAATAACACTATCGGTTTGTGATAAAACAATATATGTATATATGATCGTATGTAGTACAATATAATTTTAGAAATACCTATGTTGATAATTGCTGAGCCTATAATACAGATTTTTAAAATTGTTTTGGTTTTACGAGCCTTGTGCATTTTTGACAAATCAAAGTGTAATCTGCAATGTTACTCGTAAAGTTTTAGTTATAGTTTAGGCCTTAAAATAGCTTAGGCCCATTCATTGACATTCAAGATCATGATTGTATAGTAATTGTGATTGTGATTGTGCACACCCAGACATCCTGATACCCAAGTTTTCTTTTCGCCGATTATTCCATATCTCTGTAGTACTCTTATTATTATTCCATTGAATGGAAAAATAGATTCCAACCATTTTAAGCCTGGTTGGATTTAAATATATTGGAATATTCCTGACTTATCTCAACTCTGTAGGTAACGAGGGTGACGCAGATAAGTAAATCAATCTATTCCGATTTAAATCTTCAATAATTCATAAGATTAGGTATATATAATTTTTTATTTTCTTAGAACTACAAAATATTGTTATCTATTTTTAAGAAAATTAATTTTATTCTAATAACAATGTCTTTATCACGATATTTCTTGTTTTAAAATTCAATACAAAGATTTCATATTTTATTTCATAGCAAACATAATATTATTTTATAATATACAAGTTATCACAGTACAGATTAATATCGAATTATGATTATGATGATCAGAAGGTCGCTTAAATATATAATTATTTAGAATCCAAATTTTAAACTAGTACTTAAATATAATAGTATTATTTACTACCGGCATATTTTGTTTTCTAATGGGGGGGGTAGAAGTCTTTAAGGACTGCTAGTTGGACCACCCTGATATAGATATTACTGTAGGTTATAATTTTATATTTCAGTAGTTTTATACGTGGTTGGTGTAGTGCGGAGACAACGCTGCCCATATTTAACGATAGGTACCTGTATACATAATTCCGATATGTCTATACTAATTAGGGTATCTATTTTTAGAGTGCTGGTTCAGTTGTAGTTGTCCGTCTGAGTTTGTGTCGCACACGTAACCGTTTTTTTTTTTATTAATCATATTTAAATATATAATATGTGATACAACTATATTACTGTACAATTATACCTATGCCGACTACATCTTACGATAAACGTACCTATCATATACATAAATAATAATAATAATATGCCAGTTAAAAAATATCTCTCATTATATATAGGCCTGCGTCTATTTTTTTCCCAAATGTTCTGCAATACATATAGATAAGGCACGTTTCCGTAAAATATCTCTGTTGCCCGCGACCACACACATTTCGTCGGGGTTTAAAAATGACGGCGAACGAGGATCTGCGTACAATCGCAGTCGATTCGCGGACGTCGTCGTCGTCGTAGCAAAAGTACCTACAGCGACCTACTGCGGGAAAACAAATTTATAAGACAAAAAACTTCGAAAACAATTTTTTCAAACTTCCGGGCTGCCTTTGACACGCCGTGTAATTCATTGTATTATCCTATAATATTTACTTGTAACAGCACTCTGTCGACAAGACCGCAGACGGCATAGGTAGGCGCGCGCATTCCTCCGGCTGCGTATATTCCACGAAATCCTCGGTCACCGCGCGACGAGTCGCCGTTGTTGCAAATATATACATATACTGTACTCCAGTAAGTATAATGATAATTACGCATTGTGCATCGTGTACGCACGCATAATAATTATTATATAGGTCGAAACTCCATTTAGGGAATAAGTGTTTTTTTTTCTCGTTCGTTTCTCTCGCGTCCGCCCCACGATCACCGCCACGGTCTACCTTTATACTCATTTATTGTGTATACACATATTATATGTAATACATCTTAGAATATGAAATATATTTTAGTGTCCGTCTGGCCGCGCATAAGTGCAGTGTACCTATATACTCACCATACGCCTATAGAGTTTATTTTTAAAGACGCGTATTAATTTCTCGACGGCCAAATAACTTGTCAACGATCCACCTTTTCTTCCTCGCTCTCTCTCTGTCACTTCCTCAGTCAGGTCCCGGCGTCTCCCGAGCGTATGTCGCTGCCGTCGCGCGGTGTACGGATATAGGTATGCGGAATGCAAAATATTATCGCCACAGAAAATAATAATAATAACAATAATACATTTGCCGAAGACGACTTATATATAACATCACCCCAAATAAATACTCTGTGCACAATATTATTATTTTTGTAAACTATAAATAATAAATAAATACCGTGGTCGCATTTCAGGGTTCACAAGGCGCAGAGCCGGAACTCCAGACGTTCCTGTTGGACGACAAGTCCAAGATGAAAGAAGTACCACAAACCAAGTAAGTTTTGTTAACACGTTTATTTTTACTTTATTCACGTTCTTCGAATTTTCAAAGTTCTTTTTTTCCCTCGAAATGTACGATCCAAAGTGGTTTGTGGATGTCAATTCACATAATATACTTATACCTGGAAAATAATGTAATTCGACGGTTGGTAGATATTGATAAATGTTTATATTCTATAAATGATTAAACGCGATGAAAATAAAATATTTACATTTTTGACTCTAATTGAGTTTTTAACACCTCAGTAACTCGTTCAAACCATTCGTTTGAGGATTATTTATGTGCAACGTCTTAAGGTTTATTCTCCATACACAATTTTTTTTAAACTATCACATTTTATTTATTTTAAAAATTAAAACATTTATAATGGTTGACATTTTGTTACTATTGGTGGGTTATAACTCAAAACACTCAAAGTTATGATGTTATACAGGGTGATTCGCCAATCATGTTCATCCACATTTTCCTTTTTATTGTAATGCATTTATTTGAATTCTGATTTTATAGGTACGTTTTGAAGCATAATTAAAGACCATATTTTCTAAACTATGATTTTTTTATGCCATAAGAAATGTCATGTGTTACAACTTTTTCTTTCAAATATAAACCAATCTTATTTTCTTTAGATCGTTCAGGAAATTATTTTGTTGGAAAACTTTAATGTATCTAAGTTTAAATTTGAGTTGAAAGTTTTCGAGTTACTAAACTCTGTGCATAAAGGATGATGGCACATGATAATTAGAAGATTTGGGGGGGGGGGGGAAAAGAAGATTTGATATTAGTCTGTGAACTGTGAAGATTTTATAATAATTTGTAAAATTTATTTATGTATCTATAATAATATATTATTAGGCGATATAATAAATATTACATATATTATTTTATGCAAAACTATTATTAAAGACTATCATTCTGAATCCCGATTATACATAAAGTGTGATAACTCATAATCTAATTGGTTGAATTTTGATGTATATACATCAACATTTAAAATAAAAATCATTAGCCGAACAATAAAATGAAAAAAAGGGTGATTATCATTTGAATATCAGAAGTTTGTGATTAAATGCTTGCGTTGCCTCTGGACACTGTTTAAACGGCAAAACAAATCGAAGTAGGTAACTATTCGAAAAAATTACGGTCCTTGAGAGTGAACTTAAAAATGTCATAAATCAGAATTAGAACGATTAAATGATAAGCAATTGGGCGAGAGCATGCTTAGTGAATCATTCTGTATAATATACTGTATATTCGTTTTTTTTTTGTCCAGAAACGTGGCGCCCGACAAGAGACTATGTCGTCGTCGTTAATTATTAGTTTTAAAAAGCGTACGCTCACCGAACTCTGAACCGATATAAATATATAATAATTATTGCGTACTATTTCGGCGCCGGCGGTGTGCCTCACAATGATATAATTATTTCGGGTCCACCATACACGTATTATAAAAAAAAAAAAAAAATGTATAATAATATATAACGATTGATTTCTTTCGAAAGTATAATCGACGACGACGATGTGATGTGTGGTTGTAGTATATGATTCGATTACTGACCGCGTAGATTATACCCCGGTACTGGTTTATTATTTCGCATACAGTGTGAAGTGGTGCAGCAGCAGCTGGTTTACCGCCGTCGACCAATTTTGGCGTTTTGGCATTCGCGACGTCTATCGCCCGCCGCACGCCAAGTCGAACATATTTTGAATGTTATTTCCGCGTACCGTGGCTGAACCCATTATTTTAGTACAGTCTCGAATCTCGTTAAAACTCGAACCCCAATGACTCAAAAACTCCCATAGGTGACTCGAATATAATTTCGTTCTTGTCCGTTGAAGTGTTTTTAAGTTTTGTTTGAAACACAAAAGTCGAATTTTTTTTTGTTCCCAAATCGAGTTATATACCACAAACATAATCGACAAACACTCCGAGGAACAAGAAAAAATCGGAAGTTTTCGAGTTGTCGAGAATCGACGGTATTCAGTAGTTTAGTACTACCTAAATAGTTTCGCCGTCGTTGTTGTCGCATATTCGAGTAGTTTAGTCGTAGGTAATAATTTTTCGCAATACGTATAAAGTACGCGAGTCAACTGAAATCGTATCTGCTTATGTACAATATTTAGATGCTCTACGCGCGTTATGAGCATTGTCATATTAATATTATTGTTATCGTTTCTTGTTGTTATACTTTCGACCTGACGACGGTGTTTAAACATAATATAGGTAATCAACGGCTCTAAAAAACGCCATTAAGACAACAGACGCGTTATTGTTATTGATGTGACTCATCGAGTAAACAACGCGGGAAAATGGAAAAACACAACGGCCTATATTGTGTGTATATATATGTCTAGTCCTGCAATTATATTATATGTTATCTCGACGCCAAGTACACAACAATATAATTATCGTTGTCTTACTGCAATTCCGAGTGACCGCGTGTGATGCGACTGTACTACCTCAGATTAAATTTAATTAAAATTTGAACTTGAATTTGTTTAATCCGTGATACTACTACGTAGTATATATAAGATACCGTTATAAAATCTACCGAGTTCTGATCCGCAGATAATTGTTTTTAAGGGATGCGTTTATCGTATGTGGTAGTAATCGTCGTAAATCGTTGTAAAAGTTTAACAGGTTGAGCCACCGTCCCACATCGATAAATCATTTATGAAAAGCGTACAGAATATATAGTAAACAACTTTTTTAAAACAATGATTAATAATATTTAATATAGGTACACATTATATTTATAAAATTTGAGTCAATTTTTTTTTTATACAAGTTATTGTAAGTCATTAAAATAATTTACCGTATGGAATAAATATATTTTTATAAATTCATAACACGCAATGCGTTTAGGTGTATAGTTTGACATACTATGATGCGCTAAGTGCTTTGGAGATTTAATGTGTAATGTTTAAGAATGCGCTTATAAAAGCCTTTTACAGAATACTACCGAAATCTTTAAGTCTACCTACATTATTTTCATAAAAAAAATTGTATATGAAAGAGGCGGTTTTCATCAAATATGTCAAACATGCGACTTATTAACTGTACTGCGTAACACTGCCTACACTCCTATTCACCCTCCGCCGACATCGTATCTCGGAGTTAGGTATAAATGTGAAATGTCTGTTCTTAACTATTATAAATATATACATAATTACAACTACGATGACGTAATTAAATCATTTACTTTTATTTTTGTTTAATATACATAATTGCATATTATGCGACTGAAAAAAAATTACAAATACAAATTGTTAAAATATATTTAAAGATAGTATAATACGCGTCGCTTGCAGTCTTTTGGAGAAAACAACAATTTTTTCTATGTGATATTTTATGGTAAAATATTACATTTTTTCTATTGGTTTAACCCGAACAATATTATTTCGTATTCCGATAAATAATTTAAGTACCGCAGTCGTCTGCCATCATAAAAGTGTTCTTGTTTTTCGTTATAAAAATAAACAGACGTCATGTTTCACTGTTTAGAAGATAATATAGCCACAAAATATATAGATTACTTATAGGTATTCTCATTTTTATTCATCGAAGGTTGATTCGTATTTAGGATATTTGAAGTATTTAACTACAAAATTTGTTATTGCTAAACTATATTTCCAAAGAACCAAAAGTCATTTTATTATTATCTAATGTTGTATTTGTATTTTCATTTGGTATAAGTGTTATGCGCTGTTATTCGAACGAGTTTCGGTATGATTCTTCTAATTATTTTAGTAATTATTCGTTTATTTCAAATTAACTTTTATGTGGTTATAATTCATAACCAATTAAATCAATAAATGAGAATAATGACCACGTGCGCGGACAATGCTATAAGAATGACTTTCGTTTAAAATTTAATAAAATAAAATAAAACATAATATAATGTTTATTAATGGTATGTACATATTCATTTTAGACGAAAATCTAGCAAAAACCAAGAGAAGAGCGAAGTAGCACACCTCAATGGCATCGATTATTTCGATCCATTCCTCGAGAGAAACTTGGAACACCCGACCACGTGAGTGTAGTACCTATATTTATATACAATATGTCATTAATCATTATTTAATACTGATATTGTGTTATCGAATATAATATAGTTAATATAATATCATATTGATATATTATCATCATAATTGTAATTATAATTATCACCATTATTTATACAATTGACTTAACCAATATGTTTGTACCGATTTAATAATAACGTAACTATAACTCATATAAATAATTATTTAACTGTATATAGTATACAGGGTATTTTTTTAAGCATGTTCATTGTTCATCCTTTATATTTTATTCTCAAATTCTTTTATTCAAGTTCTGATCTTTGGCATTTCTTGTAACATTTATTGAGGATGATTCTGTGACAATACAGACTTTTGTTCTTCAAATAGGAACTTCCCCTTTTCACTCTTGATTATTATTCTATTATTCAGCGGATATTATTTTTGAGGGTTTTGATGAATCCAAATCAAAACTCGAGCAAGTAGTTTTTGAGTTTTAAATTTCGTATATTAAGGATAATATATCCGTCTCAATGGGCTGAGTAGCTATATGGAGGATTAGATAATTTGAAAATATTTGTAATTACTACTGATTTATCAATATAAATAATTTGTAAAATGATCCAAGTATAATAAATACTATATCATCTTATATAACATTTAAGTTATATTTTTGTAAATCCATTTTTAAGGATTATTATCCCTAGTATAAACATTTTAATACCTCAGAAACTACTCAGAAACTTCTCAGAAACTACAGAATTTTACAATTTAATACATTGAGATCGTATACACATTTAATCATCCGACAAATAATTTTTAATAAAAAAAGGGGGGGGTTCTCATTTGAAAAATGGAAGTTTGTATCGCATGAGGACACTCCTTAAGTAGTACAAAAATGACAGAAATTTGAAAATTAGGTATACTTAAAAACTCTAAAAATCAGTATTTGCAAATATTGTTGTTTCATGATCAAATGTAATATCAACTGGAAAAACGGAGGTATTCATACTTAAAAATCACCTTGTACAATGTACAAATATATATATATATATATATATCAAAATTATTATACATGTTATACAATTAATTATCTACGTACCTATACTGTAGTACCTATTATATGTTCTTATGTACTAGTTTTTCGGACTTGTACCGTGTCATGTATACAAATAAATAAATAATGTCATACAAAATTATTTCGATTTTTACAGCAACGGCGAGACCCTGACTCATTTGCTCAAGGCGTCTCTGGGAACCGGGATCCTGGCCATGCCGCTAGCTTTCCAGTGTGCGGGACTTATAACCGGCATATTCGCAACTGTGTTCGTGTCGTTCGTGTGCACGTTTTGTTCATACTCACTGGTTAGTGCACGCACGTGTTAAATATTATATATTGTGTACACGCATATCCGAGATTCTCTTTAAAATGTTACTATTACTATTAAAATATATAAGGTATTGTTTAAGGCAGAAGAGACGGGTCTCCAAATTACGGCTCCTCCAAACTTTTCGAACCGACCGCCAAGCTAATTAACGTTTTGAAAATACATTTAATATAATGCTACTAAAAAATAGTTCTTTAATGTATATATCTTAAATGTCATTATCCTTTTATCCCTATCTAAATATTGTTGGCTCGTTATGCCGAAACTTATCACAGATGTAACCTGCCGTAAAAAAAAGGTTGGTTTAATGGCATAAGACGGTTACGGAAATCTGTCAATCGAAAAAAAACACATTGTTATGTCACCTTACATATTGTAACTATAGGAATTTCATTTTAATCACTTATAACGCAGATAAATATAAATCACTTGCAAACTCTAATTATTGATCATAGAACATACATGTCCTACGGGACTGGCAAAAATCCCCATTATTGTGACATGCGCGATTACCAAGTGCAATAAGTATAATATTATTGTAAGGCAAACAAACATCGATTTGCAAATTTTTTTTTGATAAGTTAATTGAATTGAGTGATTAACTAAATAAGCGCGCTGCTTTTTAGTAGTTGGTTATCAAGAATACTTATGTCTGTAGAAATTTAGAAAAATTAGGTAATTATCCACTTTTGCGGCACTGCGATCATATGTATTTATGATTCTTTTTTTTTCATTTTTCTTTAAATCGGACGTAAAAAATCGTTACTACAGATTTGTTTAGTGTAACACATATGTACTTAGGTACTTACGTATATATCATGTACTCAACAATGAGAGTATTACATTATTCTCTCGTCGTTTCGCAGGTGAAATGCGCCCACACGCTCTACAGACGTACCAGAGTGACGGCCATGGGCTACGCGGACGTGGCCGAAGTGGCGTTCGCCAACGGACCCCCGTGGTCCCGGAAGTTCTCGTCTATCACCCGGCAGTCGGTGCTCTGGCTGCTGTTCGTCACGTACTTTGGGACGTGCAGCGTGTACACGGTGATCATCGCCTCCAACTTCGAACAGCTGTTCGCCCACCACATGGGTTACTCGCTGAACCTCCGGTACTTCATCGCCATGCTGCTCTTGCCGCTCATACTGCTCAGCTACGTGCCCAATCTCAAGTACTTGGCGCCCGTGTCTATGGTCGCCAACCTGTTGATGTCCGTCGGTCTGGGAATCACGTTCTATTACACGCTGATAGACATTCCCAGCATTTCGGAAAGAGAGGCCGTGGGCTCCTTCGAAACGTTCCCGACGTTCTTCTGCCTCACCGTGTTCGCCATGGAAGCCATCGGAGTGGTACGTTACGATTATCGCCGGGCGTGATGATGTATACTTTATTAGTTTATTGATTGGCGAAATATTTCAGTCCACACCCGTCGGTGGTCGATCTCAGCCGTTTTTGTACACTTATCCCGGGTACCATGAACAATCACTAAACATTTAACGAATCAATAGTGAGCTAATGATCCCTTAAACATGGTTTAGTGGCCCATGATTGGTCCATTAAATTGTATTGGGACGTTGACTTAATAATTTTTTCATACAACCCGGCATTAGAGTACCAATGTACAAATTTTTTCCCCCTTACGATTTGAAGCTCTTTACTTTTCGTCGACTGTTACGTCTAATAAAATCATATTATACCTAATCGTATATAATTATATTAGTGTAAATACATGGTTCGCTGGGTCGACATCACTTTTGGAGCGTTTCAGTCGACGAAATCGCATTATATGTCTGCCGTTTTACAATATTATAGGTGTCGTATAACTTCCCTGTTATTGATTTATCTGTTCGTCTATCAAGTTGTGTTTGTTATTTTATTTACTAATGTCAAGCGGCAGCAGTTTTATAAGTACCTATCTAGATCACATAATCTTATAACATTTAAACAAATTGGACTTGGATTATCACCGTTATTATTTATTGCTGCAGGTGATGCCGTTGGAAAACAACATGAAAACACCCAGAAAATTTTTGGGAGTTTTCGGCGTGCTGAACGTCGGAATGGGTGGCGTGACCATCGTATACATTATGCTCGGTTTCCTCGGTTTCTTGAAGTACGGCAATGAAACGAAATCGAGTATAACATTAAACCTCCCCACCGAAGACGCGTGAGTGTAACATTTCATAATATGCAGCTGTATAGCCTTATAATTTTACGGGTATTGCGCAAACTTCAAAATATACACTCATACCACATATTTGGTATATATATTTTATAAATATATTTAAGTAAATATTCTATATGAAAAAAAATATCGATTCTGAACGAGAACGTGTACTGGTATGATACTCAACAGCGGGATGGCCAGAAATTTCGAATGAGGGGGGTAGCTAACTCCCACTAAATAATCTTCATTAAATTTTCATACACTGCTTACACTATGTAAAATCATTTTTAAAAATATAATAGTAGAATTTAGGCTAAAATAAACGTGGTATGTGTGTAGAATAGGCTATAGCCCCCTAGTTCCCCCCAGCTACGCATCTAGATTTAAACTATGCGAAGTATTACGTTATCCATATATATATTTTTAATTTTCTACTCCTACATTTATTATTGGTGACCACTTAAACAAAATTGGGTCATACATTCAGGTATTTGGGCACCTATCGTATGCTACTGGATTATATTAATCGTACGCCTAGCGACCATCGTTCAAAAAATGTAACCGATTCTCATTATTGGTTTTTAATGTTTGTTTGCTTGTGTTTTTTTTATTACAGTGCCGCTCAAGTGGCTAAGATATGCATCAGCTTAGCAGTGTTCTGCACGTACGGTCTACAGTTTTTCGTATGTTTGGAAATCGCGTGGACCAAAATCCAGGAAAACTTTGAAAAAGCTACAATCTACCACAATTACGTTTTGAGAACAGTTCTGGTGACCGTGTCTGGTGAGTAACGATACCGTAAACTTCAAATTGCAAATCGTTATTGGTCGATTTTTTCTTTTTACTCATTCTGTTTCAAAGAAAAATGTGCCCTCAAATTTTTTAATAAACTTAAACAATTTACGTGATGTCTGTGATATGAGTGTGAAAACGTGGATATTATGCTTGCAACTAGGGTACAACATTTTAGAGGGTTATAACAACAACTGAATACAAAAGCCTACTCCAAATATTTTCATAAAATTAAAATTAACGGTTATTAAAAAATAAATATTTTTTTAAAACTTAAAAAATAATTGTTTTATTATGAATTTTTAGTTGGTAGTTATTGAAATTTAAAATGTTATATTTTATATTAAATGTATAGTTTTACTTTCCCTCAAGTTTTACAATTACTGTTTTGTAAATAATTAGTTCACTATCAACTAATCAACTATACCAGTAGAATTTTTTTCGATATTGCAGTCAGTAAGGCGATTACCAAACATCGATTATTGTTTTTTTATAAATACGTTTTGAATTTATTTATATGCCTATACCTATGCGACTAAATTATTTTCGAAGGATATTAAAACTACTAAGGAACCTATCAAATTTAAGGATAAGAATATTATCTGATAAGGCACCACTTGGGTTTTTGTTGATATTCTAATATCAATGTGAGTTATAGCTATACACTTGTAAAATATTAAAATTTTAAAGTACTAAAAATCGCTTAAAATTAAAATATCAATTAATAAAAACGTACGAATTGTCATGTATAATATTATTATTTCTTACCTTTGAATTTGTTTTCGAAGGCCACTCTAAAACGATTCACTCTAATATTAATGCTATAATTGGGGTAGTACGATGTAACTGGGAGGCGGTCTACGGACGCACGCGAGTCCCAGGCCCCCGACTCCTAAGTCATAACCCCCCCCCCCCTACAACCACTAACGACTGTAGCGACCACCATTTAAGTATAATACGATAGCGATACACTCACGTCGCACTCGATATTATATTTTAATAACAACAATGTAATAAAGCGCGTGCGCTCTTTTGTCGTTTTTCGCAGTGGCGATCGCGGTAGCCGTACCGACAATCGGTCCGTTCATCGGACTCATCGGCGCCTTCTGTTTCTCGCTGCTGGGCATCATCGTGCCCGTGATCATAGAGTTCGCCACTTACTGGGACAAGGTGACCGTCTGGATGACCATCCGGAACGCGGTGCTGATCTCCGTCGGCATCTTGGCGCTGGTCTTCGGCACGTCCAACAGTATCTCGGACATCATCACCGCGTACGTACCCGTCCCCGAACCGGCCGTCAACGCCACGGGGCCGCACACGGCCTCCCATTGACCGGAAGTCCGGCCACACCGTCGACCACTGCAACCGCCCTCCCCCCTCCACACACACACACGAAGAATTCGAGACTTCCGGTCGTGCCGACGAGCGTACACCGTTACGATAATTATAAATGTTATATACCCACACACACACGCATACATGTATATATATATATATATATAAAATACGGTATTATACGTGTTTTTATTAACGAGTGTATACGTATATTGAAAATGTATAAACCGCGGTGGTCGGGACGGGGTCGGACGACGACGCACGAGCATTGGCAACCGACAACCGATTAGTCGTGTCGTCGTCGTCGCCGCCGCCATATCGTTTCCTCCGACGTGCGCCCGCCGACCACTGAGCTTACTTGTGCGCATGGCTTTGGCGGGCACATAATAATAATATAGGTGACAGACATATATTACATAATGATATTATATTTTTAAGGCGCACTCGCACATCGAAAATAAAAATGTTTAAGTATTATATTTATATTATTATATTTTAATTTTAATTTATTTTCTAAACATAATTATGTCAGAGACTTAGGATTAATCATTTCGTTTATTGTACGATCGGTTTTTTTTTCATTCGATCCAGACAGGAGCTTTGAATATATTTTATTATATAATAAATAAACAAATGTTTTTCATTTTCTTTTTTTATATATATGAATATGTATTTAACTCGTATTGGATTTAAGTAAATAAGGTATTACAATGTTGTATGTTATTCTTTTGATACATAATGATAATTAATATAATATAATTAAAAATTACTTGAAAAATGTTTATTTGTTGTCCTACAATAAGACTTAAAAATGAACCGAGTCACCGTATTTCGTTCTCTGAGACAAATAATATAAAAAGATCTGCTGTGAAATTTGGCCATCACGCAACTGGAAATGTCTTTACGATACTCCATTTTGTATGCAAGTCGAGCGATGATCGTGTAAAATATTACGATTTTACAATGCCCGTGCGTTTATCGGTGAACAATTTAAATATCGTAAATACCGTAACCTACAGTCATTTTACTCATTTAAATTTGATAATTAGGCAAATCACTGCAGTAGCCGGTAATGAGAGTTTAAAATGACATCAACGCTCGTCGTAGTTTATACAGGAGACTTACAGAGACTTTAACGCCAAAGTCCTACTGGTATTTTTACACGATATCACAGTATTACCAATAAGCATAAGGATTTGTCTTAAGCATTATAGACATTTCATTCATTTAAATGTCAACGATTTCTTAACGGTTTTACATTAAATTTAGGGGACCCTATAACGAAAAAGGTCGAGAAGCACTGTTGTATATGTATGTGAGGTGTGTAAGCCGGTCGATGTTGTTAAATCATATGTGATACCATTTATGCTGGATTATATATATAGGTACATGCATTGCATGTAGTAAAAATCTTTTATTTCCTAACTAAACATGTCAGAAATTGCAGTGTACAGAGACATGTCTGTGATTACATTTATGATTTATATGCGATATTGATTGTCACATCACTAAGGTAGTTTAAATTGACTTTGAATAAATTATATGATTCATATATAAGTCATAATATATTTATTGATGTTCATAGCTATTCTTCTTACACAAGCTGCATATATAGGTACAGCTGTACGCAGACAGTTCTAACTTCTGCGTCTGCAAAGTAACACACTAACACTTACCTATTTCATGTAAATTAATTCAATTATGTGAATTGAATCAAATTAACAAATAGGTAATTCACAAACAGAGATATTTTCATTTAATAAGTGGCATAATGTCTACATTTAGTCATACTGACAGACGACAGTATACGGCTGTAACCGAGCTTAACGCACAAAAACAATTCTAAATTCTGGGTCTCATATCTCGTGTAAATTTATTTAATCACATTTATTATTCATCGGCAGAGCCATTTCCTTCCCATCAACAATGTTTATTTGTATTTAATAAGTTAAACTAACATTAACTATACATTGCTAGACACAAACACATTTCTGTTGTTCGACTTTACTCGGAGATAGTACATAATAAATAGGCGCTGTTAAATTCGTATTTTAGGCAGACTGAAGTATATTGTAAATCCAGGATAATATTATAGATTTGAGCATTGTTGAACACACATATTATACTGGATATTATTTTAATGAGCAACGTTCAATTGTTTATATATTGTTTGATGTATGCTCTGTTACATGGTACATTAATACTTAAATCAACACAAGCAAATATCCACATAATAATATAGATAATGGGCTCCTTAACAATATTTAATAATTTATTATTATTGTTGGTATGTGTTTGTATATATATGTATTAAATATTAGCACATACCTATTGTAAAAATCTTTAATTGTTTAACAAGATATATTAGAAATTGCAGTGTATTCGCATAATGTTTGCTACTGACATGTCGATGATTACAATGTATTTAATTATCAAATTAGTAAACAGAAAATTGATAAACAGAGATATTATTTTTCGCAAAATTGTTCATTTTCATTTCATAAGTCATACTAACGTTGACGCCTCTATATTGCTTGACCTATGCTTATACACATAATTCTGTCGTTTGATATAATAATTGCATTTTCGTTTAATGTTTACTGTATATTATGTGATTCATTGATACGAAAAGCAATATATGAATAAGGCAATTTATCGTAAAATAGTGAAAAAATTATAATAAATAAAACATAATATTATGATAATTTATAGGCTTACAATAGCTATTCTTTTCACACAAGCTGCACGTCTACACTGAGTTATACTGTATAACGATGTTTACATCATTACTCGTCTATATTTTGTTGATAAAATATGTTTATTGGGCACACGTGTTGTACATATTTCCTATACACCTTATAAACATAAAACGTACCACGTGCTGACTACATATTAAGTCCCTCTTTTTATGATTAAGTCTCACGGATTAGTATTGTAGGGCTACGGCCAAATAGGTAGTATTATGTAAGAGACGGTAGTTCTCCGCGATCACCATCTCCGGAACCAGAGACTGCTGGGATTAATATGTCAGTTGTAAGTAACAATACGTTTTATGTATATTGATAACTGTTTGAGTCAATTGTATTCATTTGTAATATTAAGATCCTAATATCATTAGCGCTCCCGAGCTACGGTAAAATTATATTTAAAAGAAACTACCGTCTTCCCGGAACATCTTATATTTTAACTGGTCATCCCCGACCACGTTACAGTACTGAGGGTACAGCTGTAACTGAACTCAGCGTTTTAACAATTTATTCTAAACTCTGTGTCTGTAAAACACATACCTACTACTGTCATGTAAATTGATTTAATTATGATCGTTCAATTAAATTAATAAATTGATCACTGACATTCCGACCTGTATGTTTCGATTTTCATTACTTTTTACATTAACTTTAACTGAATTCACTCAAACAGAGTGTGTAATAATTAAAGTATAATATATATTGCACGCTGACCGATGTAGATTATAAATCCAGGATAATTATTAGCTCGGAGAGCTAATAAATTTATAAAAGACTATAATAATGTACTATTTTTGAATTAATCAATTATTTTTTTATTATATCGATGGAAGCCGCTTAAACTAACCTAGCTAGTTAGGCGACAGGACACGTTTCCTTTCGATGTTGGAAATCCTGGAATCCTCGGAATCCTCGGTCATATCCCGATTCTTGAGATTATTTCACTAACACAACCATGTAATATAAGTAGGTATACCTATAGTAGATTTAGTAACTTGTTTTTATAAACGAATATCATACAGGCACCTACTGTTACATTAAAACGTAATCGTGAGGGACGGTCATTTGCACAATTTTTTTCAAATTAATTTTTGCTTTCTGTACTTGTATAGCTTATAATATATTTGTATTTAGACAAATCAGATAGTATAGTAACTAATAGTATTGCAATAATATATAGTAGGTAGGTATAATAATTAATAGGTACAGTATATAATATTATAATATACTGATGATAAAAAATGTTAATATTTTGTCCTGTATAGACTTTATATTATATAATGATAAAAATCTGGTGCTTTAGGACTTTGCAGTAGATATATATGATAACCAAAATATAAAAACCGGTGTAAAAAACAATCGCTAATATTATTAGTTTTGTGGGTAGTTGGACGATGCAGTCTTCTGCAAATCTTTGACACGAGATTCGATGCAATTCAAAGCTTCCAGCATCGGAAAGAGTTCAGTCATCAGCCCGTTTGTGACGCTTACCAGATCTTCTTCGGTCACGATGAATCCGTCTGAAAAACAAAAAATAAACACGGTGGATGAAGACGTCCGCACATAGCACGTCCAGGGACGATTGAGTTTCTCGGATCTATTTTTATATTTTATACCCGAATGTTTCTCGATCAACAAGTGGCAATATACGCTCAATATGCTGGTGATGTCATCGTTATCGTCATCGTCGTCCGTTCCGGTCGATATCAGCTCATCGAGCCAACGACTCCTGCCGCAAAAAAACAAGATTAAGATTTAAATACATAATATAATAGTAGCAATCATCCTTAAAATATAAATAGTACCCATGTAAGGGGGAGGGGGAGGGTGTTTTTGGTGTTAAAATTATGGTATAATTCAAGAATGTATTTGAAACCTATGAACAATCTCCCCAAGTTGAATTAAAAATTTAAAACCCTCATTTAAAAATCCTGGCTAAGTTTTTGGATGGTTTCTTCTATTATATTAGTTCATAGATATAACGCTACGGTTACAATGCACAACATATATAATCTCTTACATAATTGCATTGGGATAAACCAACAAAATAACTGATAAGTATACAAAGTAAATAAAAAGAAACAAAAGGTTAAGGTCTCCAATTTAGTTGTTATGTACTAATATTGTTGTTAATGGTCACGTTATATTTTGCTTAACAATAATTGTTACTAATTTATATTATGCACTCGAACAATTTGTCATAGATAGTCTTTAAAGTCTATTAAATTGTAATTTGATAATAATTTACAGGAATTAAATTTGAACGTATCTTAACGTATTATTTTCAATTAAATATTCAAGATACTGTAGTAGAATTAATAATTAATAATCATATACCTAATCACCGGGTAAAATTATTTTTCTTTTTAATTGAGAGTGTAACTGTGTGTGTAGTAAAATTATATGAACTACTTTAAACATTATACGTTCATTGACTTCCAATTAAAATGAAAAATATGTAATGCACATTATATTACAGATTATATATTGTATATTGTACTAGGTATATTTAAGTAGTAACTTTAGGTCAGTCGGAGAATTTGTTTGGAATTTACTATTGCGGTAGCACCATAGACACAATTAAATGGCACCAATTAAATTGTTAATTTAAACAAAGAAAAAATTATCATTAATAGGTACATTTTTTATGTGTTATACCTTACTAGATTTAAGATTACAGATTTCATATGCATAAAGGATTAATATATTATGTATACAATTTCAAAAAGCTATTTAGAAAAATATTTTATTTTTCGGTTTAAGCTTAAAAAATAAGTACAAATAATCATACCTAATTATA